TGCGAAAAACTATTTGAAGGGCAGCGCGATTGTGTGTGTCTGGGCACGAGGATTTCTGTGTTTGTGTGTGTGTTTGCGTGGGCCGGTGTGCATGTGGTGGGATGTTGAGATTTTTGGGTGTGCCTGTTTAGGGTGTTCTTTTCCCAGTGCAGTGGGCTGATCGGTCTGCCTGTGCGAGACGGGAAGAAGCTTCAGCTCGCCATCCGACTGGGAGAGGAGAGAACGCGGTTGGTTCGCATGCGATCACGAAAAGTCTGGAAAAGCAGAATTTTATTTTCCCCGAGTCTAGATGAAATTAAATTGAGCATGGAAAAATTTATTTGAGTTTTCAGTATTCAGTCTCTGTTCAGGTGTTTAGGAAATAATCTGAAACCCGCAGCATGATGCTCCCACCACCATGCGTCACAATGGGGGTGGTGATGTGCAGTGTTGGTTTTTAGTCACACATAGTAGCATACATGCAGGTCAATAAGCTTTGTTTCAGTTTCCAGAGCACATGTTGGGTGGGACATAAAGATTTTGAATAAAGAAATTGCTTTAATTTTCTGTTATCCCCACAAAAAAAGATGTTAAATAATTCTTCAAACCCAATTAAAACCCAACTTCTACATCTTACTAATGTTTTCATGAAAACTTTGCGTGATGCTGCCACCAGCTAATCCCAGAATTTCTCTATTTTTAACTATATTCTTCACATTTTGCCGTCTTCTTTGTGTTTGGTGGTTGTAGAAACATGATACTGCCACCACCAGGTCCCACTGGGGGACTTTTCAGTTGGTTGCAGGTTGCAAAGACCTAAACTGGATCATGGATTGAAGGTGTAACCTGAAAGGACTACTCCTCCTTCTCCTTGTTTCTATTTTACATCACCTTGATATCCCAGAACAGATCTGAGACTAAGAGTTGTTGATTTTGAAACAGAGATTATTTAGGTTTCAGTGTTTCATGAAGAAAAACATCCCCTTCATGATGCTGCCACCACTGTGTTAGTTTTCCACCACAGGGTTTTGGGTGCAGACCAAAAAGCTTCGTCTTAGTCTCAGCTGACTGGAGCGGCTTTACATCGTCTGCTCAGCGCGGATGTCCCTGTCCAGATGCGAGTCCAAGTATTATTTGAAACTGAGCTCATCTTAATCCGTCCAGATCCCAACAAGCAGAGAAATGGCCCTTAATTGCCGTGCTGAATCAGAAGCCAACTTCGGCTTTTGTGTTGTTTCTTTATTTGTGGAACACATAAGATAATAAAACCCAACTAGTTAAATGTTTTGTGCTGAAATGTCCTTAATGCCATAAAATCTGCCATAAAAAATCTGAAGGCTTGAGTCTGGGAAGGAGTGGAAATTTTTACTGGAACATTTGTGGGAATCCCGAGAGCAATATTTAACTTTCAGATCAGATCTCAATTTATAAAAGCCCACTGAGAGGCTGAGAGTGATGCGTTCAGGCGCACGCCCACGTATCTGTCCGTAAATTTATGCTGACTCATTTGCAAAGTGCCTTTCAGTTGGGTGATTGCAGCACTTAGTCACATATTATCTATGACCTCCCGAGCTGCTGCGTGCTGACCTTATCTGATGATTACATCACCGCTGAAGGAGGAATGTGTGCGGCTCAGAAACGGCGGGCGCTCAGGTGTCATGGAGTCGATGTTGGAACAGTGGCGGCGTCTTACAGGTGTGCGCAGATCTGGGACCAGAGCAGACTGTCAACAGGAAGGAAAATGCACAACAGGAACTGAGGACTGAATGTGCTACAGCGATCTTTATCCTTATCTTCTTTCTGCTGGTTGAGACCTGTAGATGGCAGAGGGAGAGGTTGGGGACGGCAGGTCTTGTGCTTGTTAAAAGGTCAGAGTCCACGTTTTGTGCTGCTGATGTCCTAATTTCCTGACTGTTGCCCCCTCCTGCAGGTTAACAGCGACACATAAAGAAATTGCGAATATGCTGGTTAGGAGCAACAGATCCATGTTTAGCAGTTTTCAGCCCGCTGTCTGAGTTGTTAAAGGGCAGCAGAGAGCAAAAACAAGCAAACTCTGGTCCATAAAATCGCCTAAAAACCGCATTTCTCGGTTAGGTTTAAGTAAACTCAGACTCAATCCGAATGTACGCCAAGCAGACCGAAGACCGGTCCAAAAGCAGAAGGTGGACTACAGGGGACTGTATCCTGGGTAGATTCCTGCAAAACAAACTAGCTAGTTTTTTGTTTACATTTCATGAAGGCGGAAGTTGTGCTGATGCTTTCTTCAGAGGTTTTCATGTCGTTTCCTTCACTGGTTCGTGGTGCAGCGCCACCACAGGCGAGGAGGTGAACAGATTCTTCAGAGGGTTTGGTTCGTCTTGCAGAGTGCAAGAGTGAAAGCAAAGCGCATCAAAAGAAAATGTAGCAAATCTTTCATTCATACACTCCAGTACCAGGAGAGACCAAGTCCTGCAGACAGACAGAGAGAGCCTGCTGTGGCTGAAGGAAGGAATTAAACGACCTCGTCTAAAATAAGATGCCACCGATGTTTCCCTGAACTTCTGGTTGCCCAGGAAGCTTTTGGAAATTAGTAGTAGAGGGCCTTGGATTGATATTAGACATAATAATCCCTCTACAGTGATAACTGTTTGATGAAACCGAGGTATTTCATCCATCTCCTAGCAGCCCGTGCCTATTCTCAGCTGAACGCCCGTCAGGTTGAGGCTGACGTTGACCTTATCTGGAAACAAAGAGCCCAGCACAACTCTAAGATTCACTTTGTTGACTAAAACACAGCCGTGAGTACCGGCAGCTCACTCTTTATGACCGCTATTTACATCTGACTGTGAATATCAGACAGTGTGTGCGTTTTCCCTGGAAATGCCTCACACAGAGAGACACAGAGACGGGGCGGGTTGGGGGGGGAGGAAGGGGGAGGAAACTAAGAACAAAAAGCTGAACTGGTGCCAATATAACCCAGGCTCAACCAGGAAAAAGGGGAGGTGTGTGTACTGGTGGTGGTGGAGCACCATTTGTATTTTTGTCTTCTTATTTCTCCCCTCTTTTGCCTCCATGTTTCCTCGTTTTTATTATCTCTCTGTGGTTGCTTTGTGGTCGGTGGGGAGGATGTGTATGGTGCATATGTGTGTGAGACTGTCTGTCTTAAACCGACGTCCCCGCCAACCACCCCCCTTAGAATCTGTCTCTGTCATGGCTGCCCTCCTTTAACCCGGAGCAGCAGGTTTTCTAGGACAGGTTAAATGAGAAAGCGAGCGTGTATCAGGTGCCTGTCATCTTACTCCTCTCTGGACTCTCCAGCTCTCCTCTCTGGTGTCAGTGCGTGCGCATGCACACACTCTGTGAGCTTTGAGATAAATGGCAGCATGCGTGTGCGCTGAAGTGCATGCATTTGCTGGCTTTGTTAATCATTTACGCTGCTTAGTGTTTGTTTGCTTGGGCGTGTTTTTTTTTTTTTCCATGTGCTGTGCAACTTGGCGGTTGTGTGTGTGTGTGTGTGTTTCTGTGCTTTGCCAGTGAACAGACTCTGGAAACAACTCTCACTATTTGACTTCCAATAGAAGACAAGATGGCATGAAAAGTGTTGTTGAGGGGATTGAGCAGATGAAAGCAGGAGCAAACGTTAACACAGTGAACAATGGAGGGTGTACAAATGCCCTGTGTGTGCATTACACGTATTCACACAACGTATTTGCAGAGCACCTGCTCACATACATGCATTTTGCGTTTCTGTATAGAGAACTCTTTTTTTTTTTTCTTTCTTTTTTAAACCGTTCAAAACTTAAATTGACTGTATGGAAGTGTGAGGGTGTCTTTGTGTGTGCACTGGCGCGTCGACGTGTGTGTGTGCATGACCATGAGAGGCAAACCTGTGGTTAGGTTACATCTCCCTGCTGTGCAGCAGAACAGTGTCTCGTTGCGTCATACTGAGTCTGTTAATAACAGGCTAAACCACAAAGGCCATCCGCTGCTCTATTTCTCATCTTCCAGCAGTACACTGATTATGCAGCAGTGATACATTAGGCACGGTTGTCTTGTCTGATGCAGCACATTGAGGTCTTACACATGTAGTTTATGTATTAAGTGCAATGCATTGATAAAGTATTGAAACCAATTGCTTTTGCCACTTAACACCCACAAACTTCAATGTGCTTTATTGGAATTTTATGCGATAGACCAACACAAAGTAGTTTCGAATTAAAAGCATAGATGGGTTTTCAACGTATTTTGCAACTAATAATCTGAAAAGTGTGGCATGCATTTGTAACGAGTCTTTCTTGAGTAAATATTTTCTCTGCACGTCTAGAGAGTGAAAGACTTGACAGTTTGTCAAACGTGGAATTTTATGTAGAGCAAAAAGAGAAAGCATGAGTGAAGCGGCACAAATTCTATATTTTTATTAGTAAAAAGTGTTAAAGAAACACACCTTTTTTCTTTCTCTCCATACAAAGTCCCAATAACATGCATAGGAGCTTATCAATGACAGAATGTGGAAATGTTCAAAGGGGAATGAATGACTTTGAAAATTTATTTCAAACGGTTAAACATTCGATTTGTTTGACACTCGATGGAGAGTCAAGAAGATACAAATGAAGTCCAGATCTGAGTCAGAAAGGCGAGGCGATGAGGCTGGGTTTAGCTACTGCGATACTGCGTGAGCTCAAACATCTCCAACTCTACCCTCCCTGCTCTCACAGCATGAAACATCCTTGCCACAGGAATTTAATTGCTCTGTAAACAAGGCCTTTGTTTTGCTGCGCATTGTTTGCTCTCGCACAAAAGATGTATTAAAATCCTCGGTTTTACTATGAATAGAGATGAATGTCATATCGGAACTCCGTGGTTCACTCATTCAAAGTGTGCTTACAAACTGAAAAATGTACACTAAGCTAGCTGAATGGTGATGGTAGTCGTTTCTATTTACCCATGCGGCTATCAGTCTGTCCCTTGCAGCTGTTTGCTGTAAGTTGTTTTCTGGTTCTCTGAGTAAACAGTGAGATTCTTTTGTCTTCTCTTGTCTCCAGACTTACGAGCGCCAGTTCAGAATGCCTGAGCAGAGAGAGGGGGGTCTTCTGCAGCTACTGGGTGATCCCGCTCCACCCAAACACCAGCCGCGCGGCGCCCTTCTCTCCAACGCCCAGCAAACGCAGCATGGCCTCACTCAGAAGTTCCAGCACAGTCACACGCAGCCGCACCAAATCAGTCCCGATTGGATCACGTCTGCGGCAGCTTTTTCCTCGCTGGGGCAACCGGCCGGCGTCGAGTCATCCGGAGACTTGGTAGGAGGGAGCAGAGGGTCATCGCTCGACGCGACGCAGCCTTACTGCCGGGCGGCGACCTCAAGCCCGTCTCCCCAGAGATCCATGACTCCGGACCTGCAGCTACCGGTGGTCACAGATGCCAGCATTCTCAACCTCACCTCACTGAGCAGGTAGGGTTTGATGGGTGTCCAATATGCGGCCTGGGAGCCACTTGCAGACCCCTGGACTGACTGTGTTTGTATCTTGACTTCAGTTCAAGAAAGATACAAATTTGGGCCCCCCAGCACAGATATTTGACGTAGATGGAGACTTTCTATGAATTGGGAAAAAATGATCACAATGTAAAATATTGTATTAAACAACCACGCTTTTTGCATTCTCTTGCCAGAACCAGTGACTTTTACTCAAAAGCAAGCTTTGCTGCATCCCAGAATGCTTTTAATTAACTTCATAAATTTAATACAGCAAACCTTTTCAAAGAAAGAGTGACCTAAATCCTAATGTTATTGATCAGATTCGACTAAATTGCGCTCTTTTTTCCCCCCAAGTGATACCTAGGAAATTTGCACAATTATTTTTATTAAGGCAAATGTGCATAACCATTTTTAAGTTTTGGATCTAGAATAATTTACACATCCCTTTTCAGCAACAAATCCGACTACTTTATTTGTTTAACTGACGTAATCGCATGCTTTATTACCATGTGACAACAAGTTTGGACATCCCTGCTGTAGATGCACTGTTTGAGATGATTGTTGAATGTATGAAACTTAATCTTTCTTTCATGCATCCCCCTCTCCGTAGGGGAAAGGGTTTGCAGGAGGTCAGCGAACAGCTCTTTGGAAACATCAAGAGGAAGTATGGAAGGAAAGACTCTCAGAGGATGTTCGCGAACCCCCAGAGCGCTGATGCACCTTGGGGAAGGCAGTCGGAGAGAGAGTCGGAGAGCCCCGCTAACTCTGAAGAGAGGCAGAGATACAGGCAAGAAGGGATGGCTGAGCAGTTCCAGGAAGCAAGGGAGGAACGAAGGAAAGATGAGCGAGACCAAGCAAACATCGGGAGGAGAGGCGATGAAGAAGAGAGAGGAATGCCTGTGCAGGCGGAGGACGGGAAAGGAAGAAAAAGGCGGCGGAGGCCTTCATTTGATGAGTCGTTTTCCATGGAGGAGCGGTCCCAGCAGCAGACTCTGGATACTCCAGAGAAGCCCCTGGTTGGACCCCCAGAACCTAAAATAGCACACAAGATAGAGGTCCACAAAAACGATTCTCGACTTTCAAGTCAGAGGGACAGCAGTGCAGACAGGGTAGAAAAGGCAGAAAAAGCTGATAGGAGGGATAAAGCAGAGAGGGGAGAAAGAGGTGAGGCAGGTACATGCGGACCTGACCAGGAAACCGATCTGAGCTCCAACAGGGTGAAGAAAAACCCGGTGGGCCGACCCAAGAGCCTCACAGATTCCCTGAAACTCAGAGAGGCAACATACAATCAGATCAACAAACCCAGTCTTGGCATGAACCCCAGACTCCCCAGCCCCAGCTCTAGAGTTAGCTTGAGTCCGACATCCAGCCCTAAATCCAGGATTAACATTAGTCCAAGTCCAAGTCCCAGACCAAGGATGGACCTGAGTCCCAGTCCCAGTACTGGGAGCAGCCCTGCAGCCAATTCCAGGCCAACTAAGGTCAACGAAAGGTGGTCCTACCTGAAAGCTAAGAATCATACCAGTCTCACCTCCCCTCAGAGAGACAGCATGGGCAGCCCCTCCGCTCTGTCAGATCCGCCCTCTGCCTTCCCAATCACCCCCTCCAGTCCGCTCTACACCAACACCGACAGCCTAACCGTCCACGCCCCCATCAAGAGGAAGCGTGGACGTCCCAAGAAGCAGCCGCTCCTGACCGTCGAGACGATTCACGAGGGCACGTCCACCTCACCTCCGAGCCCGCTGGCGAAGGAGTCAAACCTGGGGATAAGCCGCAGGAGAAAGATGCACACGCTGAACCCGCTGGTGCACGCGGCGTCCTCGTCTCCCAGCGACGGTTTCAACAGTCTGAAGGTAAAGCGAGGCAGAGGTCATCCCAGGGCGGTGATCAAGACCAAGCTTGGGAAAATGCAGAGCATCCTGAACGAGATCCTCTCTGGATCCAGTCAGAACGGCTCCCTGGCTCTGAAGTCGGCTTCTGCTCCGGTTACCTCAGCCATGAGTGCCATGGCGACGACCATCGAGGCTCGATTGGGAAAGCAGATCAATGTCAGCAAGAGAGGAACCATCTACATCGGTAAGAAGCGAGGGCGTAAGCCCAGAGCGGAGACCCAAGGCTCTGTCACCCTCAAAGCTAGCAGGGACAAGCCCCAGATGTCTCTGTCCATGTCCAGTTTTTACGACAGCCCTGCAGTGCCTTCCACCAACTCGTCTCCCAGCTCATGCGCTCCGTCGCTGAGAGCCAGCAACACAGACGCCACCATGCCGAGTTTGCAGCCCATCTCAGCCCTGCCCGCCAAACCGTCAGGAAGAGGATTTCTCTCTGGCGGCTGGAAACTTTCTCCTCCTCGCCTCCTGGCTAACTCACCCTCCCACCTGTCGGAGGGGGCATCGGTGAAGGAGGTGACCCTGTCCCCCATCAGCGAGTCCCACAGCGAGGAGACGATCCCCAGCGACAGCGGGATTGGGACAGACAACAACAGCACCTCGGATCAAACTGAAAAGGGTCCCGCCTCTCGTCGCAGGTACAGTAAACTGTTCAAAAGTTGCCGACCATTGATTTAGCTGTATCATCGTAAATATAGATCATTTCCATAGTTTTATCTGTTGAACATTTTGGAAACTATATTGAATTTTTGGTTGTAAGCTGACAAAGTTTGGGAAGGTTGCTAACTACTTGTTTTTTAAGTTATATTCACTCTAATGTTTACAATTTCTGAACTTCATGCAGGTACTCGTTTGATCTCTGCGGGTTCGAATCCCCGGAGGCCGCCGCTCTGGACACGTCCACCAGGGGGAGCAGACCGCGCTGTGAACGAAAAGTTACTGCCGTGGACAGCTATCTGTCACAGCAGGAGAAGAAGCAGAAACATCACCGGAGGAAGAGGAAATGCCTGCAGACTCGGGACCATCTTCACTTTCTCTCTGAACTGGAAGAGGTTTGTAACAGCGTCATGAAACATTGTTTCATCTGTGATAAAGTGCGAGCACTAAGCCGGTGTGGTGGTGTTGTTGTTGTGCCTTCCAGGTTGTGTTAAAGTTCCAGCAGCTGCGGGTTTCTCACAGGCTGTACACCTGCTACCCTCAGCATCCGTACCCGTCTATCTTCCGGCTCAACTTTCACCATTACTACCCGCTCAGCTACGACTCCTACGCCTGCGACTCCGGCTCGTACCTGCGCAGGAGTGCAGACCTGAAGGCCAAACGGAGGCGTGGCCGTCCGGCCAAAGCCAGCGAACCGATCACATCCAAGCTGCCGTTTGTCCCCGGATATGGCTACGCGCTAGGAGGGGGGAATTACTATGCAGCGCCATATGCGATGCCTTACGCACCTCCTCTGAATCTAGGCTACTTCCCCCCGACGCCACCGTTTTACCTGCCCCACCACTCGCTTGGGCCTGCACCCCCGTCCCCTTTCATGAGGCCCGCCGTCCCACCGCCAAAGGCCTTCCTCTCGAGCGGGCACCCCAAACTGCAGGTGGGGGCGAAGATCCGCAGTGCCAGTGGCCCCCTGCAGGGCCCCACTGTGAGATCGGAGGCTCTGGGCTCCCTGAGCGGCGGCAGTGCAGGCGGTCTGGCCGGGGTCCGCCTTCATAAGAGAAAGCACAAACACAAGCACAAGCACAAGGACGAGCCTCTCCTTTCCCCGCGGGACCGCCAGGAGCTGGGCGGACTTTTCAGCGGCGCCAAGATCAACGTGCGGCTCGGCATGCTGAGCGAGAGGAGGGACTTGGCCGGTCAGGGTTCCTCAAAGCATCTGGAGAAGCAGAGGGGCAACGCGAGGGGCCCCAACCTGGGGTCCGGCCTGGGGATTTTCGAGTCGGACCAGCTGTCCGGCCACGCGCTCGCCGACGGCCAGTTCCACTCCCGTCAGACTGCACAGCCTGCGAAGGGCTTCATGAGCGGCTACGGCAGCCAATCGCAGCGGTCGGAGGCGGCCTCTGACCTTTTCTCGGGGTTACGGGAGGATGAGTGTGCCGGGAGGAGCAGAAGGACTAGGCTCGCTGTCTTCGGAGATCAGGGCTTAATGTCTTTCCAAACGGCCAGGCAGGAGCCGGAGCAGATGAACGAGCGTTCTAGTCCAGCTCTCACTGGTAAGCGTCACATTACGACCTTTCTGTTTGTTTCCGAAAAGAAAGCACTCACTCTCTTTGATTTCAAACAACGCAGCGTACATTTGAATGTCAGAACATTAAAAGGTTAACTTATTTTAGTACTTTGGTCTAAAAAGTGGAACTGCAGTGACTCACAAAATTAGAATATTTATGGGGTTCTTACTAATGGAAAATGTTATTTTACACAGTCATAAGGCTTGATTGCCTGTCATTGACACACGAGGAGGATTAGTCACAAAAAGGAATTTTAAAAGAAACTGACTGTTTAGATTACTGTTTCCAGGCATGTTAATGGAAAGTTGAGTGGAAGGAAAGTGGTAGAGAGCAAAGGTGAGGTAGATGACAGAGCAGCTAGGAAAAGAAAGGCAATGCATAGGACATCAATACAGCATAAAACACCACAAATAGAGCCAGATTACCAAACTACACTGAAAGCCCAAAGGAAAGTGAAGGGGGAAGTAAGGGTGGGTGATATAGATGTATTGCTTTTTGTACTATTGTGGTAAGGATAGAGAAAAAAAAACCTATTTATTTCTGTTTTTGGTATGACTGTGACTGCATGGCACAGCAGTAATGGCACCCCAAACACAAATACAGCTTCTGAAACCATTCCCATTTGAAACAGGCTTCTTCAGGACACCACTTACTTAAAAACACAGTAACCGCTTTTAATCGTGTTTTCAGATTTACTGGTACTTATTGATGCTCTCGTGGAACAGTGGAGAAAATGACGAAAGCAACATTTCCGACCATTTGTCATAACAATTTATCTGAATTCTTATCATAATAAGAAATGTTAAAAAAAAAACACACTAAATGCCCTCCCCTGGGGGACGAGTCACAAAATGCTGCTGAACCAGAGACAATCATCAGAACCCAAAAGTCTCATCTTCAGATGAAACTAAATTTTACATTTAACTTGAATACCAACAGCAATGGGTTGGCGATTGATTGATTGATTGATTCATTCATTTGGAAATAAAGTTCTCAGAGTCTGAAGGAGAGTTGCCTGATGTTCAGAGTCAACAGAGAATCTGTGGCTCATCATCCAGAGGAAGACGAGGAACGCAGACCGGCTGAAGGCTGCTATCAAAGCAACCTCACGCTGCAGTGATCCAGTTATTCATGCACAGGGAGCCCTGACTGAAGGCTCAGTTCATATACTTACTTTTCAGTAGGCAGATATGTCGGCATTAAGATATTCCTGTTATTAATGATCTCATAAGACATTCTAATAGCCTGGGAAACTAAATTCTTGCTTTTCATTTAGCTGTAAGCCATATTCCTCAACAGAAATGTGGAGATGCGTGCATCAGTTCAACATTTTGAACCAAACTACTGAAACTAAACGAACTAACGCGCCGAGTTGCACCTGTCGTGTCGGTGCCGCCCAGCAGGCCCGGTCGCACTGAGGTCCTGACTGAACCCACATGCAGCCAGGAAGTTTTCAAAGGGAAATAAAGTTTCCCTCTCGCACGTGCTCATCGACGAACGCTGCATGTAAACAACAAAGCCCAATCTGCCGCATAGCCACTAATTGCTCCAACGCCAGCGACGGGAGAGCGGATGCACATGTGTTGTTACAAAGCAGCTGTGTGGGATCTTAACCTGCCAAGGTTACTGGACTGTTAACATCGGCAGATTGAGATCACTCTCTAGCTCAGTGATAATGGACATCTGCTACGCTCTGTGTCTCCATGCAGGCAGAGCTAATAGGGCTTTCTTGACTAAAGATGCGGTACCTGCAAATGCTGCTGTTGTTTATAAATAAACTCGGGTGCAGGTTAGGTCCGCGTTCTCACAGAGCAATGTGTAATTTGTTACATTCTGTATTTGGCTGTCTCCGAGCACATCTGGCCGGGGATAAAGAGAACGTAATGCATGGGAGACAACCATAATTCACCGATCTCTCCGTCCCCCTCCCTCCCTCTCTTCCTTCTCTCCTGCCAATGCGTTCGCCAGAGATATATTATTCACACAGTGTGATTTATTTTCTACAGACACGCCGTAAAAGGCTCTTGCCTGTGTTAAAAGAGCTGGCTGGGAGCCAGGGATTTAATGACTGGGGCCCAGTCCAGTGGTGGGGAGGAGAAGCCAGGGGCTCGGGCAGAACGCACCCCCCTCACCCCAGGGGATCCAGGACGGATGACTCATATGCGCGGCCCCTCAGCCCACCCCCACCTCTTCCATATTATCGTTATAGTACCTCATCTACTCCTGCACATCCTTACCCTTTTTTTTCTTCTCCAGTTTTGCCTTTTCTGCAGCTCTTGCCCTTGCTCTCCTCCTCTACCTTGCTCCCACAGCTCTCACATCCCCCCCCCCCCCACTTCTCTCCTTCCTACTTACTTCCTTTCTGCCTTTCACCCCTGTCTCCCTCTCCTCCCAGATTACCTTCTCTATTCCCCATTCCCGTTGCCCCTTCTCTAGCATGACTTACTGCTTCACTTCACCGCCTTAGTCCAATTAAAATACAGGCTCGTGTGCATATGAGTTCTGCTGCACGCGTTTGCACATGCAGGCACGTAAACGGATGGGGTGGGGGGAATCATCCTCAACCTGCAAAATTCACAGCAGATTTTATATCCAGGAGTTAGAAGAAGCTGCTCTGTAAAATGTTTCAAAATGGTTGCTAAAAATATTATAGTTACTTGAATATTTTCTGTTACCTTTAATCATTATTTTTGCTTTGCTCCACCGATTTAAAACTGTGAGATTAATGAGTATTGTCCTCCCTTTGTTTCCACACTTTCTGTTTTTCTACTTCCAGAAATATTTCAAAAAGTCCGAATCATATGCAAAAAAAAAAAAAAAAAAAAAGTTGTAGTAGTCTTTATTCAGTCATCTGATCAGCAGTGTGCAGCAACAGTGGGCTGGAGCAATGCTGGATCCCTTTAAGCCTCATGAAGTTGGAGCCATTTTTGTTTATTTAGGCGTTTACTCTGGAATCTCATTAAATCGGTTCTAAACCAGAGGAAAGGCATTCAGAAAGTTTCTGCCGGTGTGAAACCGAAACTTTTTAAAACTTTGACTCCAGAGGCAGATCTACGTTTGGTAGCAGCTATTCTAATCAGTTGATTTATTATTGTTTTTATTGCAGTAGCGAATGTGTCAAAAGCTGTTTTCCCACATTGGCATTGCTGAGGGTTGTTTTGTTAATATTACTAATTAATGCCCAGCATGGTTGGAGTTTCTCTAGTTACAGTTGTATAGTATGTGTAGAAAAAAATTATTTCTCTGTTTCTTTTTTTTTCTTTTGTATGTCATTAAAATTACTTTAAACCACAGGAATGATGCGGTGGAAAATATAATTGGCTTTGTTTACTACTCTGGACTCAGTCAATCTTTTGCATGAATAACTGCATAAATGCACGATTTCATTTGCTAAATGACAGCATGCTCCTGTAATGAGCAGAGCCAAGATACGGTATTAAAAAAAAAAAAAGAAGCTTAATGTCTGTAAAGCACAGAACACTGTCTGCTTACCTCATCCTTAAATGAGATTAGTTCACATTTCCCATGAAAACCTGATGGAGGGGGAAAAGTGCAACGGCAGCAGAGGTAGCTTTTAAAATCATAAACAGACATAAATATTGAGGAGAAGAAGAACGCATGAGGAGAAGACGATAAGGAAAATGTAAGACAGAGCGAGAGCAGAACGCCGGAGGACGAAGATCGATATCTAAAACATCTGGAAAGAAGCGAGAACAGCCAGGAAGGCCGATTCACATGACGCTACAACCTCTGCACGCAGACAGAACCTGAAATAACTTTCATCGTGGAGGATGACTTTATCCTGCTAGTCAGATACGAAGCGGGCCGTGGAGGTGGGGATGCCTCTCTGCTCCTCAGAGGAACAGGTCCTCGGCGCTACAGAGTCCCTCGCGCCGGTGAAGGTCATCGGTTTAATGTTCCGTGTATGGAGCTCATAAATTTCTGCTACTTTGTAGTGTGCATGTGTGCGTGTGTGCTCACTTCTGTGCAGCTCATAAACCGCTGCTACTGAGTGCTTTCTGCAGTCACTAATTTCACTGCCCCTTCTAACTTTTTTGGCAACCGTAAAGTGAAAATTTACAGCATGCAGCTGATATAAGCAGCTTGAATGTTATTAGTCAAAACTCCACACCTCCTTGTGTTATTTGTGAAGTCACAACGGGAGCACTTCCACTCAGAATTACGAACTGGTGCTGGTCCGGCATGAAATGCATGTTTCAGCCACGCAATAATTCTCAAACATCCGGAGGATTTTTTTTTTTTTATGTGCTTTGACTGTGATTTAATGTTATTTTCGAAACACTGCTTAAAGTAAGTATAGTTATATTACTCAAATACGTAGTAAAATTAAAATGTTTGTACAAAATCACTTAAGATGATTTTGGACTCATCAACAATCATAATGATTCATGTCATTTGAACAGAGTCAGTTAGCCCAAAATAGATTGAAATAAAGTGTAATACAAAGATTTGAGAAAATAAACAATGAAATGAAATTATGATGACAATTAAGCATTTTTTCTTCTATATAACACACCATAATTCATGGTGAAACAAAGTGAAACCTCATTTTTTTTTTTTTTTTTACGGTTCTGAAATGGAGCCAAGAAGATATTAAATGGGGATATTATTGGGCAAAGAGGTAAACAAACAATTTAGAAAAAGAATAATTGAAAAATTAAAACTACCATTATTGAAGAATATCTTTATCTCCATTGAAAACTGTAGGAGAAACAACTATGAAAGTGGGAGTAAATCTAAAATAAACACACACTCAGCGAACCGTTCTCTGACGAGCCTCTTAGCCTCACGAGGACCTGAACGTAGATTTATGCAAAATATTTCACCCAGTTACAGTAAACTGTGAAGACATGAACAGAAAAGGAGCAGATGTTCCACAAATCATTTAATACACATTTTATAACCTAAGTAAAGACCAGGCATGGGCTGGTTTCAAAAGCGCATAAAATATTTCTGTCCTACCACTGCTGCCGTTTAAAGTCGTTTAAGTAAGACGTTAAAAAACGTTCTGGAGTCACCTAAGTTTTTTTCAGCTCTACGGAGCATAGAATCAAACAGAGCTGCACCTCCCCCACCTGTTGCTGCACACTGCCAGGGAGCTGGCTGAAAGAAGGCTACTGCACCTTTTCCCTTCTTAAAGGACATATTCAATTGAGCATTTGGGGATATTTGTGGTTGTGAAAAGCGTGGCTGGACATGGTGTGGGTACTAGCTGAACGTCCTGCATTACTCTTATTAAAGTAATGTTAAAAGTTGGTAAAATTCTGGGCTAATTAACCAACTGCATTAAATAAAAACAGTTAGATTATGTATGTTGTTCCTAATGTTATTAAAGTTGAATATTTTTACTCAGGTTTATGATATCATGCCTATTCTCATTTAACTTGTGCATAAACTTCATTATTTTGCAATCCTGCCACACTTTTATTGAAGTGCTGGATCACAACAAAAACCAGCTAAGCTGTAGCAGCAGGACTGTGGACCAAAACAAGAAATGACCATTTGGGAACCAGCGGCCAATTGTGCTTCTCCCTCCATTTTGGCTATTGCTAGCTCTGAGCGCCGGGAACGGTTCCCAGACAGGGAGGAGAGGGTACGAGGAATTTTTTGGGGGTGGGTGCGTGTGTGTGTGTGTGGGTGGAGGAGGGGTTACGGTGTAGGGGACAAAGATTGAAAACAAAAAGAGAGACTGAAAAAGGCCCAAGATCAGGAAGCTGTTTGTGAAATGAAGACGGAAATGAAACCGTGCAGTGTTTCCAGTTTAATTGAAAATGAGAGAGCGGCATATTGCCTCCCATGAAGAGCGGAGAGGAGAGGAGAAAGAGAGTGATGGGAAAGAGGGAAGGAGAAAGAATGGAACAGCGTGTAAAGGGCACACTGCCCAGCTCATCAGTGTGAAAGAAACAATATGGCTCGAGTTTCTTCTGCTCAGCCATTCTGAACTGCTGAATTCATTATTCCTGCGTGTTGGGGCCTTCTGCATGCGTGCACATGTGTTTTTCTCTTTGTGTCTATGTGATGCTGGGGGATATATGGACATGTGTGTGTGGGTGTGTGTGACTTTTTGGCTGCCTGTTCTCCAGATGCACCAGTTTGATTCTGTGTGGCGACATATTAAATGGTTGAAGGAGACATTTCTTTGGGTTTCCTGCGAGCAGAATAGGATCTCCTCCTCTCTGCTCTCTAGCAGACAATTACAGGATAGGATCTGCTCTCCTGGCTCAGCTGGGCTTTGAAAAGCTTACATGAATATCTCAAAATTAGCAGGAAGCTCTTGAGGCAAAAAAAAAAAGAAAAAAAAGAGACCTTCTTCCATGAGCTAAATTACATGATGCTTGCACGAAAACTCCTGCTTGCTTTGCAACCTATTTACTCACCTAAATCGTTCCCTTTTACTCCCCAGGTGTCCCCGGTAAGAGGAGGTATAAACGCCGTGAGGTGGAACAGATCCAGAAGGACGTCAGGAGGATGCATTCTTTGAACTTTGATCACGTGCAGAAGATCCTACGTGCGAAGCGTCTGCAGCGACAAGCCAAAACAGGAAATAATGTCATCAAGCGGCGGCCCGGGCGGCCCCGAAAGCAGCCCCTGGAGGAGTCGCAGCCGGCCAGCATGAGGGAGGAAGTCTGGGCCGACGCTCGAGGTCTGGACGTTCCGGCCAGCAGGAAAGGCGACGGCAGGACTTTGGGGATGCCCGTCCTGGAGAGGTGCGACAACCTGCCGGGTCGGCACAGCCTCAGGCCGAGCCTGGCCCTGGAGTCTCACGAGCTCCCCGCTCACGACTCCATCGCAGCGACTATCGAGACGGTGGTGCACCAGGCGCGATGCGTCCCTCCTCCCGGGAATAAGGAGGGCAAACGCAGAGGCAGGGGCCACAGCAGGGACCAACTGTGGGCGCCTGGCAGTCAGTAGACGCCCTGAACTGACGGTAGAGCAGCTACCAGAATCAGAGCTGCTTCAGGCCTAACAGATGCAGTGCCCTTAAAGCGGGAACCCTTTGATGCACTTTGACTTGTGTCTCCTCCTCCGGTCGGTGGAGAGGAGCCCAGGCGGCGGAGCGGTAACGGAGGAGCGACAGCCTCCCTCCGTCTGCAGAAACCCCGACCAGACAACGGGCTTCTCAAACACCCTCCGGACCTGTTTTCACATCGGCACTCTACGGTACTCTGCGATACTGAATCTGATGCTATAAAAGTGTGTGGTACTTATGATAGAGTAGGATTTCATGTGATTCTTTATGTATCTGATACAGTGACGTGTATGGTACTTTACGATACAGTATCTGAATGTGGCTTTAGCCATATATTTACCAGCAAAGGGGAAGTGGGTGGGGGTGGTTCATATAAAACTGTGCAGCTCTGCTTATTTTTTTGCCTTTTTGTGGAAGCTTGTGAGACATGCAGGATAACACATCAGTAATTAACCCTCCCTAACCTGTCTGGGATATTTTCTTTTCTTTTCCCCCCTTACCATTTTCTAAGGTTTCTCGCCCACTTTTCGAAGAAATTCACACTTCCTTGGCAGCTCATCTTCCCCGTTTAACCCCCAATTCTCCTCAGTTTTGCTCCTACTGATGTTTTCAATCTGCAGTCCTTGAGCTTCCTTGTTTTCAGTCTGTCTGTCGTGTATTTCTCCCGTCTCGCTCAGGCCTCTCCTGGGCAGGGAATCAAAAGGCAATACGGTGGCTAAAACTTGTCCCCCGACTGTACATAGAACTAAAAAAGTCCACTGTTGCCTGCCTTGTACAATGGGAAAAAAAACAACCAGCTCATAGATGTGTACTGGCTTCCAGTATAATAAATAGAATTGTAGATAATGAAAGTGTGTATTGTTTTATAACCAAAAACAGACATGGGTGTGACTCAAGACAAGTATGTTTTCAGACAGAAGAATACCACGTATATTCATTCATACGCTCATTATTGTGTTTGTATCCAGGGGTGGGGGCGGGGAGGGAGTGTTTTGGGTGAAAGAGGAATGTCGGATGTGTTTTTTGCTGAACTTTTAGAGTTTGTTAAATGCACTATGAAGAACCGTTCACTTGCATCAATCAAAATGCAGCACTTACATGCTTGTTCTAGCCTTATGTGTTCTTTGCATCCGCTGGGTTGGGCGTCCGGTCCAGAGAGCATGCGTTATTTTTTTAATCAATTTATATATGCAGGCCGCGCAGCCAAAAAGCATTTAAAAAAAAAACAAAACAAAACAAACAAAAACAAAACAAATGAAGCGTAAGTCACAATTGGACAGTTCAATTAACAGCCCCATCCTCCCCTTTTATGTTTCTACTTCAGCTGATTTCAGTGAAGCAAATCCAGTGTTTCGACTTTGAAACCAAAGTCTCAGAACTCCGTAAGGATGTAGTATTTGAAAGTATTAAAGTTTGGCAAACTCTCCACCACATTGGCAGCAATGTAAAGCATTCCTATGTGCACTGTAGAATGTAGCCATGTTGGACCTCGGTGTCAATGAGCCTTTTGTTTCACTCCTTTTTCTTCTTTTTTTATTTTATCAGTATATGGGACTGTGGATCACAGTTGGATTTTTCCCAGACATAAACAATAGTTCAGTGTTTCTTTGGGAACGTTTTCAGACCGGTGGATTTGTTTTTTTTGTTTGTTTTTTTTTGGGTCAGGTGATATTCTCAGTTGCAGCAGCTCAACTTGTGCCTTATGTTTCCTTTCTATCACGGATTGCATTTGACTGAAGGAACAGAAAGTGGCAAGGAGTGCCCTCCCGAGAGTGACCCAAGCATGTTCACGATTGTGCATATCGACCCTCGTGTCTTATGTCATCAGATCCCTGACGCTGCCTGTGTCCCCTCACGTCTCTCCGTCTCTGGGCGTTCTTCTCGTTTTCTGATCGTTTCATCCTGACAGAGCTGGAAAGGGTGGGACTCGCTGTGTTTAATGCGCATCATGTTCTGACCTAGAAACCGCCGTACAGCGGTGGCAGAAGAAGAAAAAAAACCCCCACTGAGTCAGATCTGCTTCTGACCGGAGGTATCGATTCTTCTCGCTGTCTTTGATGTGGAATTGAACATCACTCGCTCCTAACGAGTGAGATATCTGACAAATAGAGGAACAGAAGCAGCTGTCAGGAGAAAATAATAAAATAAAAAAAACACACATATTTGCGTATATTGTTTGCTATGCATCTGGCCATTTACACTGGCAGTGACCTTAAACAAAATCCATGCTCCGGGTCCACTTTGCGACAAAGAGAAACAAGTGGTCTTATTTGTTGAATAAAGTGAGTTCATGTAAGGAGAATTGTGAATAATACCACTAATAATTTGTAATAATGACAAAGTTGTGCAGAAAGTGACTATCATTTCAAGAAAATTATACTTACTGCCTCTCTATGCAGTACAGCCTTAAACAGACGTAAAACTACAGTATTGACGTGTTGGTTGTAAATAGTGTTTTTGTGTCCATCGTGCATGGATACCAAACCAGAGACCGCCCCCATCAACCCGCCAGAGCGCCGCCTGTCTCCACCAACACACAAATAAAGTACCTTGGTATCGGGCATGGGTCGGTTTCCGAGCTTCTAAGAAACTACAGCTTCAAAAAAAAAAAAAAAACAGCTGAAGGTTTTCCTTCGTCCAGATGGTTCAATTGACAGAAGACGGTTTTGTCACTTTTGCTCATGAGAAAAGTTAAAACAGCACTTTCTTTCCAGGTGTGAAAAGCAAACAGCCATGCAGTGGACAGGAGCACGACCCAGCTCTCTTGTTAACATGATAATGTTTTTAAACCACAGTGGGCAAGCTACAATAAGCCCTTTAAACCACTTGTTTTTGGTCTCAGCTATGTGTCAAATTGAAAATCATAACTATTTGCTATAAAATCCAATATTAATGTTATTTCAAATGTAGTAATATATTATTTTAACTACTTCACTGTTCTGTTTTAAAGCAATTAGGCCATGCTGTGGTGTCATAACTTAAAGTTTTTAGTTATTAACCTGATATTTTTAACTGAAGGTTATCGTGTCGTCAGAATCTCGTACCGACCCATGCCTATTTGGTACGGTCATTATTCCAGCTCATTAATTTACAAAGAATGCTATAATAATCTTCCTTACTTCCTCGTGAAAGCTCTCAGAGGCCCGACTGCAGTACACTGGACCAAAAATAGGGATCTCTGCTGACTTTTGGCTCCTTCCGCCTGCAGCTTGAAGGTGCGTTGCTGTAGCGTGAAGAAGGCTTTTGTGTGTTGGGGGAGCTCTCAAAGGGAAAACACCAAAAATACTCTCAACCTAATGTTAGCGTGCTTCGCCTTGCCTTGGTAGAGGACTTTGTGTGGGTCTGTGGTGGAGGTTGGCTGTGTACCGACGGCTCCTTGCTGCGGTGGGGCGGTGGTCTCTGACGGTGGCGTTAAAGGCCCCGGGTAATGTCTGCGCTGTCCTGTCTGTTTCGTCTCTTCCTCCACCAGCCGATGCTCCGGTGCCTTTTAACACTGACAAGTATTGTCCTAGTCCAGAGCTTTCAGTCGACTCGGAGACTTCAGAGGGGATGTAGTTGTGAGTGGGGATTCATGCTCTCCTGTTAGCAGCCCATCTGGCTCAGCTGGTCAAACTTTTCACGTTTTGCCGCTTCATAACCACAAACTTCAGTGGATGTTGTTGTAGGCTGATATTGGTGAGATGAAAGGAAAACGATACATGGTTTTCTTTTTCTTTTTTCTATAAAAACAAAAATCTGGACATTGTGGCTTTCGCTTGCATTCAGCCCCTGTTAGGCAGTATTTTGAAGAGCCGCCTTGTGCTGCAGGTCTATATAGCTCAGCTCATTTATAGGTCTGGACTTTGACTAGGCCATTCTACTACAAGAATATGCTTGGATCTACCTTTCACTCTGTTTTTAGTCTTTGCCCTGCTGGAATTGAACTTTTACCATGTTTCCCGCCTCTACTGAAGTAAAACATCCCCACATCATGATGCTGCCACAACCGTGTCTCACCGTTATGAAAATACCGGTGAGATAAAGATACCTGTTGATAAATGCTTCTTTGTTAACTGTGTATTCTTGCAAGTGTTACCAAAGGACCCTCAGCTGCTCCCCTGTTAATGCTCTCCTTGGCCAGCCTGTCGGTTTAGATAGACGGTCATGTCTTGATAGGTTTTTGTCTTTTCATTTCCATATGATGAATTAAGTGGAATTGGCCTTCATGACTTTTGTTCACCAATGTTTTCTAACAAACATCTGAGGTCTGTACAGAAAGTTTGGCTTCATACTGATGATAAATGAAATCCTTTTGCTCAGCAGTTTGCTTCTAAAGGCCGCTGGGGTCATCTGATTTTATTTAAGGGTATCAGACTTGAGGCGTGCTGCACTTTCAGGGCTTTTATGTGGAAACTATTTCGAAAACCATGTATCACTTTCCTTCTGCTTCACGAATAAGAGCTGCTTTGCGTTGCTCTGTCGCATAAAATCCCCACAAAATCGCAGTTTTAACAGGATAGAATGTGAAAGGGTATGAATAGTTTTGTAAGGCACTGAAATCAAGCTTGTGAGCAGCGTTTGAGCTTACAGTAATATTGCATTAAATGTACAATTAGTCCACAGGGACACCATGCAGGACGAGACAAACTGGCAACTGCGTTCTTATTCCCCTGATCCCATGCAGTGATGGGAGTCTTACACCTGGAGTGAGGGAGGGCAGGGAGGGGGGTGGGGGGGTTCATATTATGGAGTCATAAAAGTTGTCATCCTTCCAGCATCTGTTTCCCATTCGAAGCTATAACGTTGTTCCGAACTGAGAGTGCAGACGAGGCACTGAGAAAACCAATAAAGTACTTCTGTAGAGCACAAAGTGAGCTCTTCTAACAGCGCGGGCATATTTTAATTTGTATACATTGTGTATTTGAAACCTTTTTCTAGAGTGGCTCTTCTTTATTTGCATGCTCAATTTTGATTGTATGCATAAATATTTTAGACAAGTTGAATTTCAATTGAATTTGAACCAAGACTTGTACATTGTTTGATATGTTTCTTTTTGTAATGGATTTTTTAATTCATGAGGCATTTTTGTACATTGTATGAATATTAAAAACTGCAAATATTTGACATATAGAGTAAATACTAGATGCACATGCATATGCATATATTCCTCACAGTATGTATGTGTAAGCATACACATATATTTTGTATTTGCATTTGCCAGCATACAGATATATGTCTTAAGCACATATATACCTGTATTATATATGTATATCCATGTCTGCTGGCATGCTTTTGGTCATGTTTCTCTTCCATGATCTTGTAGGTTCTTTTTTTTTATTATTTTATTTCCTCTTTCCTTAAAAAGAAATGCTCATTCTTTGCTACCCTTCTGTTGGCTGGCAGCCTTGAGCACTTATTAAGAAGAACTACAGTTGAAGTTGTTCATGTTATCCATTGTGTGAAATAATAAATGACTTTATTGACAGCTCGCAGTGGTTCGTGCTTTCTTCTTTCTGTCAGAGATTGTATCGTTATTCTGTTCCCCTAAAAACTGCTTGGTCACATGCTGAGATTTGCCTCTGTTCCTGCATGTGTGTGTGTGCGTGTGTGTGTGTGTGGGGAGGTGTGATGGAGCGAGATGACAGGCAGCGGGGTTACTGCACTGCTGAATTTAAGATTCTCTCTGTGAATGAGTCCTACTCTACAGTGTTGCAGGTAAATGAGAGGGAATCCTCTCATCAGATTATACTGCAGAATCTCTCTCTCACACACACAATCACACACACATATCCTCTCTTCGTTCTCGTTAGCCAATCTCGAAATCGTTTTTGCACAACCCCTTCGGTGTCAGTTCGAGGTGGGCCGGGCTGGAGGCTGTCCTGTCATTGGACGGAGGTGAGCAAAAAGTGCCCTGCTATTGGCTGCCGCCAACTAGTAAAAATCTCCTGTTACCATGGTTGCAGAGTGAGCTGCCCAAAAGTGTCTCAGTGCATCTGGTGGTGCTGATGGAGCTGTTGGCACCACTGGTGTTGTGCTGCAAAAAAAAAAAAAAAAAATCCCACTCCGATGGAAAGAAGTCAGAGGAGAGGCGAGCCTGCACCCAAATCACTCTGTTCTGATGGCTGCAAATGAGCCCACATGGCTCGTCTCCACCCTCCTCTGCACGTGAGAGAGGATGAGATGGATGAAGGTGAAACAGCCGTGCTAAATGTATCCTGCATGATGGATGCGCTCCTTAACCAGGGGGAAAAACAGGCTCATCAATCTCAGCTTCAATGCATGGATTTTTGTTTTTTTCTTCACCAACTTTGCTATTAAAGTTGGTTTCATGACCCTGCATCCACTATGGACACAAACATACATCCAGAGAATATCGTGGATACTGTCTACATCCACAGTATGAAACTTGATGAGTAATGTCTTTTAAAAAAGGGAAGTACCTAGAGAATACCCTTTGCAGAATTAAATTTAAAGATTTTTTACTTTATTTTGGCAACATGTTTCTTCGGACTAGAAGTAATAGAAAGTTTTTGGAGTGACCCAGGAAGGGTTCTGAATTAAATCTGATAGAAAACCTCCTTTGACATTATTTTATAATATTATGTGAGGTAACCAACTTATTTCCTATCAGAAACAAACTCCTTTGTTGAATAAAGATTCTTTGTATGAATAATTTTGGGCTGGGCTCCTACAAATTTTCAATCCTGTACTTTTCCAGAATCAAATTTCAAGCATTTCTGAGAATTTTTTTTTTACCTTTTGGAGATTTTATTACAAAAACATTGACCAAGTTATTATTATTTTTGACAAATCATTAATTGCCATGACTAATGAGGGCCTTACAGTTCTGCAGAGAGGTAAAGGGCTTTTTTAAAATAGTTTGAAAATTGATCAGTGTCTCAGATTCATGTTCTTCAGGAACCTGGATCTGAAATAAACTGTGCAGTCATCCAAAACCATAAGCATGAGTTTATTAAAGTAATAAAGTTTATTAAAGGCTGGAGAATATGTGAAGATAACATTAAATTCCTACATCAACCTGCTAAATTACGTCCATATTCAATAAATTAGGATGTATGTTCAGAGGTTTGTTACCCAGATTAAAAGTACCTTTTGATAATAAACTTTAAGCATTTATTATACATACTTTTCATTAAACTATCATTTCTGTGTTTATGAATAGTTTCTTATTAGTCTGATGTAATAATTTTAAATGTTTTCATTACATGTAGGTGAAAAATCATTATAATCAACAGAAATAAAAGTTTTCCACTGTGTGTAATTATAATGTGTTTCTATTAGTGACAAAGTTCCTAAAATAAATGGGCTTTTCAATAATAATCCAATTTATTTACTGGGTCTGTAGTCCGAACTTGTCGTTTCACTATTGTAAGCAACATTTTCCCCTTTAGCTCTAAAACTTTTTGAAGTTTGGAAACCTGCATCTGCCACAACATCTGTGCATTGCACGAAAGTGAATATTTGCAGAATTAGTTCAGAGCTGTTGTGTTTGAATGCAGCTCTCAGACAGTGTGGGAGGAGGACAGGTGTTATAAATTGTCTCATATATCTGACTCCTTAAGGTCCAATGTTCCCGTCTCGCCGTAAAGAAAAGGGTCAAAATTTAGGAGCATCATCCTCCCAACTCTCTGTGGATCCTCCCCTCCAAGGAATGTTGGATTTAGTGTTGGCTGAGGTGGAAACTCCAATTCTACTTGAAATACTAAGAAACAATTTTATTAGTAGAAGAAAGCATCTCAACTCAGGCCTCCATCGGTCGTAAGAAGTCGCCACACACTTAATCATTAAATTAAAAAAGGTATTAGGCAGATATCATCAGAGGTGTTCTCACGGGGATGCAAAGCAAATTCCCTCTTATTGATTTTGTAATTTATTTTTTTTTTCTGGGAAAGAACCCAACAAAGGAGAGCTTCAGCCTGACCAGAGCTGCATCCATGGATCTTAAGCTTTGTTGCTCAACACATCTCAAAAGAAAAAAAACATGTCAGAGTTATGTTGTCCTAAATCTGGCTTCTTAAATCTCCACAAATCACAATGTTTTATAGCCTCCGATTGTCCTTCCGAGAACACCAGTAGGGAGTTCAAAATAAATTAGATTACGTCTTTCTGTAGATTTTCTAATAAAACACAGGGGTGCACTAAAATTTGTGCTCAGTAAGTACTTTTGGTTGTTAGATTAAAACATTTACAATAATCAAAAACTTAACATCAAATATAACCCTAAAAATACAAATAACAGTTGTTAATTTTATTTAAGTGAAAAAAAACTATCCAAAGCATCCTATTAAAGAATAGCATGCTACAGCTTTGCTTAGACTTTGACTAGGCCACTGATAAAGACTCATTTTGTTATTGTCAGAGGCAGACTTGTTGGTCTGGTCTACTTTTGCATCCCTTCCAAAATGTTCCAATTTTTTTTATTTTTCTCTTTCCCTCCAAATTTATATTTCACTGTGAAACACTGAATTTGATCAGTGAGGGGTGTTACTGATCAAAATCATTTACTTTTTGTGGATAAATGATTTTCATATAATCTACATGATTTGCCATTTAAAAATATTTTTCTAATCTTTATGTAAAGGTCAACTGAGGGGAAGGTCTTCTGCACCTTACTAACCAAAATACAATTTAATTGGCATTGTTCCTTTGATTTGATTTTCTGCATCTCAATAAATGCATTCCTTAAAAACGTCGAACCATCTGGTTCAGATG